CCCTCGTGTATTGTATTGTATTGTTACTGTACTGTCTCCCATTTTAATGCACAGCGCTGAGCAAACTATTGGCGCTATATAAATACTGTATAAATAATAATATTCTTATGTGCCTATATATTCTATGAATCTGTTTGTTCGCCACAACTCACCATAGAACTATTGGCGCTTTATAAATACTGTATAATAATAATAATAATATAGGTGGGCTATGTTTCCTATTTTTCTGTATATACTTTCTACAGTTTTTCAATAAAAATATTGAAATATAAAATGGGAGAAAGGTCCACTTTAAATGAAGGCAGGGGTTGGTGGCTAAACAGCTCTGATATATTGCCTCTTGTCTACAGATTCCAGGGTTGGATGGAGAATTTTACAGTAAAAGCATCTGGAACACTGATGCAGGGGGACCCACAGAAATAGAATATATCTTGGAAACAACCATGATCATTATATTTTTCGGTATGCTCATTTTTTAATATGATGTTGATAAGAAGAGAAGTTCCGTGTTATGATCATTAATGGATCATCAACATACAAAGGCTTCAGCGATTGAGACTTTATTGGATGATGGACATCTCACATCTTTGCTCACCTTAAACCTGGACTCCATGATGGTATAGAAACACACTTAATTTGTTTAGCTCATGCTCTCAGCAACTGAGCTCATCCTCCTCCTTGAAGATGGGAAACCTTTGAGCTGATATACTAAAAGAGTTGAGAAACTTCACACATTAAACTGTGACCAGCCACTTCAGTGTGAAAAGCAAATTCCTATTCACCTAGGATACCATTTATGTGCAGATGAAAGAAGCAGACAGATGTTTGAGGAGTAGACAGGAGTTTAATTTTCAACTGATTGGTCCATTGAAGTGAATATTCAAATACATTTAGAGTCTCTAATTATTTGTGGCCCATGTTGCCAGGCCTTCCTTTGCTTCAAATGGCTTTTGCATTCCCAAGTCTTCCATTTGAGGGTCCATTCACTCCATGTCTGGTGAAAAGGTTTGTCCCTAGGACAGGAAGTGAGTTGAAATCTCACCAACGCAAAACAACCAGAATTAAAGCTGTTTTTACAGTTAAAGCATAACTCCAGGAATTTTTTTTTTTTTCGTCCCATACAGTGGGGCTGTGCCTGCACTGCATGGGTTAACTGCTCGATTTGTGTAGGGTTGAATGCAGAGCTTATACTTACCCGAGCCTTCAGAAAATGGAGCTCCCCCCCAGGTTCAGCAATGGACTGTTCCTTTGACAAAGTCGAAAATGACAGAAAGTGACGTCAGACGTACATTGGAATTTGTGTAGCGGCCATCTTGGATAAGGTTTTGAAGCCAAAATGCTTCATATTGATGATGAATACATGTTATTTTACTCTACATTGTTTGTAAGGGCTTTTAATGGAATAAATTGCTGGGTTTTTTTTAAAAAAAGTAATACTCTATGTATGCCTATTCATTTGGATCCATACAAGTCTATTGGAAGACTGGAAATACTGTGGATCGGGATGTGCGGTTTCTTCTATATGCTTTTTGCTGACATAGTCCAGTAAGGTGCATGGTGTGTGAGGTGTGAAGTGATTTATCATGTGTAACTGGTGGTCACCATTGATTCTGAGTGGAGCACGTAAGGACACCTTTGGTTATGGATGGTATTACACTATTATTATACAGGATTTATATAGCGCTAACAGTTTGCTCAGCGCTTTACAATAGGAAAGGAGACAATACAGCAATGATACAGTTCAATACAAGAGGATTAGGAGGACCCTGCTCCTTGGAGCTTACAATCTAACAGGGAGGGGCTAGTGGTACAAAAGGTAATAACTGTGGGGGATGGACTATTAGGTGGAATAGAAGATTCCATTGTTAGCTGAGGGCAAGATAGGCTTCCCTGAAGAGATAGGTTTTCAGAGATTGCCTGAAAGTGAGCAGAGTAGGCGATTGTAGTCTGATAAATTGGGGAAGAGAGTTCCAGAGGATGGGGAAGCTCTGGAGAAGTCCTGGACATGAGCATGGGAGGAGGAGACAAGGGAGCTAGAGAGCAGGAGGTTTTGGGAGGAGTGGGGAGTACGGTTTGGGTGATATTTGGAGACAAGATTGGTGATGTAATTTGGGGCAGATTTATAAATGGCTTTATATGTTATTGTTGATGTTTTGAATTTTATCCGTTGGGCACTATATATAAAATATATTTTATGGAGGGTATATCTTCCATGGAAGGGAGCACGGAAAAGAAGAAGGTGTGATTGGAAGAGCTGTGCTGTTGCAATCTGCGATAAGGCATTTATATATACACACAGAGGGTAAGGGTAGGAATTACATGCGTTTAGAAGTGATCACATGGTGGAGTGACTAAGCACGGATTTGCCACACATTTTTGTGAGTGTGATCATATTGAGGATAATGAACTATGTGTGTTTATTTAATTTCTTTTGAGGATACCAAGTAAAAGATGGATTAAGATTCACGTGTGTGTATAGGTAAAAGACACACAGTGAGCGCTCTCAAAGAAACAGCAGCTGAAAATCCAGGATAAACGCATATAAAAATCCTCAGTAAAACATATACATATAAAATGCAGCGCTGTAAAATGATCAAATCATGCAAATCAACACAATAATAGTCCTGAAAAGGTGCTCATTAATTCCCAGTGTCAATGGAAAGAATGCAAACTAACCAGAAGCGCATTTAAAGTATGCATGTGTGTAAGAAATCCTGGAGATTCCCCTCTCTCCCTCTGGTCTGAAAATGGATATGTGCTGAAATGGATGATAACGCCCTCTTGTGAAAAAGCGAAATCCTGCAGGCCAGGAAGCTCCCAGGATAGGATATTCCTCTTTAATGGAACCCGGGCTGGGATTGAAATCACTCTGTGGCTGTGAAATTGGGAGAGAGACCCCTCACAGAGAACACAGAGAGATACTCATAGTGTAGTATATTACTTAAATTTATTTAAAAAAACCAAGTAAAAAACATGTAAATCAGGTGGCAAGTGAAAGTGACCCACTGACCCTCTTAAAATTAAAGGTGGCCACCGGGCCTCCACATGGCACTGGCAGCGTAGTGTCAACGACGTCCACAGGCTCCTACTGACGCGTTTCGTGCGCACGCACTTCTTCTGAGGTAGAGCTCAGGAACAGTCCACTGCACAAGACCACTAGAGAGAGTGTGTGTGTGTGTGTGTGTGTGTAGGGGGCAAAAATGAGCAGTTAACCAATGCAGTGCAGACACAGCCCCACAGACAAAAATGAGCAGTTAACCAATGCAGTGCAGTCACAGCCCCTCTGCATGGGAGAAAAATGTTTTTCCTGGAGTTTCTGTTTTACGTAGGGAAAAAGTGCTTGGGGAGAAATCTCTCTACTGGAGCCCTGGGTAGCAGTAAAACCTAGCATAAGGTTCCAACCCTTACCCAGTCTATCCAAAACAAAAAGATGTAGTGGCTGCTAGAGTTTGCACCGATACCGATATCTGTACCGGTGCTGATACTGAGCATTTGCATGAGTACTTGTGCTTGTGCAAATGCTCCGATACCTAAAACCGATACCTTTGTGATGCAATTTGAGCCCATACCAAATGAACCAGCTCAAATAGTACTTTGAACAGGAATGCGGTGTGATTCCTGTCCGAATCACATGCATTTTCCCTGCAGGTGCGGTGCACTGCAAAATGAATGGCTCAAATTGCATTGCAAATTGCACAGCACCCACAAGGAAACTGCATGTAATTCGGACAGGAATCGCACCGCATTCCTGTTTAAATCACATGCAATTCTTTGCTGTATGATTTAAGCCCATTCATTTTGTATGAAATCACACCACAAAGGTATCAGTAATTAGTATTGGCAAGTACTTGAGTACAAGTATTGGTACTCATAGTCGCCGATAAAAAAAAAAACGGTATTGGTGCAACTCTAGTGGTTGCATTCGTTTTTGGCTAAAACATTTTCAGTAAATACCTCACAGGAAGAGACAAGGATGTTGCAAGAAATGCAACGTCCTTGTCTCTTCCTGTGAGCTGAACTAAAAACTTCTTCTGTGAACTGTATTGGAGATGAACAAAGGCAGACATGAGGGCCAGGGTCCTAGTTCATTACCTTTAAAAATGAGATTTATTATAAATAGTAAAATACTCACAAGAGAAATAGAATCAAATGGAAAGCATGTCACAAAGGATGCAATGATGCACTGTAGACCTCTGAATAGCTGGTGGCTGGCGTGTTTTGAGGTTGTACCCCTTCCTCAGAGCCAGTCTCTGAGGAAGAGGTACAACCTTGAAACACGTCAGCCACCAGCTATCCAGAGGTCTACAGTCCCCCACCAGACCACCTTCAGGGGTTATGGACCACATTGCATCCTTTGTGACATGCTTTCCATTTGATTTTATTTCTCTTGTGAGTATTTTACTATTTATAATAAATCAAATTTTTAAAGATAATGCACCAGGCCTGTGTGCCCTCTCTTTGTTTCTTATATACAGTTGTCTGGATTTCCCTGGTCCGTTGAGGCAACAAGGTTTGCATTCCTTTCTTACTCATGTGGGGATATTGACATTGTGGAGTCCACTGTCCAGCACAGGGGTACATGCATTTGGTTGCTTTATTCTTCTTTCCATGTTTGAGGTCCAGCCTGGGTGACAACCATGGCTCAATCCATAGATACAGTTGGGAAATCAGTGAAGCCACCCAGGGACAGGAATTGTGGTATTTGCAGGATTAGGACTAAAGTACAAAAAATCCACTGCAATGAATTAGATTTTACCTTCCACTGAACTAGATTCAGTAAAATTATAATATCCTTGTTCTTTGCACGGTTTATATATAGTTAAGCCATCACATTATTTTGTTTGAGACATCACATTATTTTATTTTGTTGTTCTCCAAAGCCTTTTTCAGGGCTTGTTTTACCTCCCTGTTCCTCAAGCTGTAAATAACAGGGTTCAACATGGGAGTCATAATTGTATAAAGTACAGCCACCACTTTGACATCCTTGTTCATGACGTAAGTTAAGGATGGCCAGATGTAGCTGAAGATGCCACTGCCGTAATAGAGTGCCACCACTGTGAAGTGAGAAGCACAAGTAGAGAAAGTTTTAAGACGTCCTTTACTGGTGCTAATTTTGGAAACTGCGGCAATAATTCGACCATAGGTCACCAGAATAAAAGTCAATGGCCCCACACCTGCTAAAACCACCACTATTAAAAACACAGCCTCCCCAAGCCGCGGGTCAGAACAAGACAATTTGAAGAGAGGAGTGACATCACAGAAAAAGTGGTCCACTTTATTGGGACCACAGAAGTTAAGGTGTAAGATGGAGATGGCTTGAGTCAGCGAGTTGACAAGTCCACAGGCCCAGCAGGCAATGACCATCCGGATGCGGACCTCCTTGCTTATGATAAGCATATAGTTCAGAGGGAAGCAGATAGCCACATATCGGTCATAAGCCATGACCGCTAGAAGATAACATTCAGCTACCACAAAGAACTGAAAGAATGAGAGCTGGGTGACGCAGCCAGAGAAAGAGATAGTCTTCCGGGCAGTGGCTAAAATAAAGAGAAGTTTGGGAACAGTAACAGAAGAAAAGATGATGTCAATGATGGACAGGTTGGCTAAGAAGAAGTACATTGGTGTGTGTAGTCGATGGCTGGAGGAGATGACAGAAAGGATGAGTAGGTTACCAATGACAGTGATGAGATAGATGCAGAGGAAGACCAAGAAGAGGAAAAGCTGAGGTTCTGTATCTTCCGATAAGCCAACAACCACAAACACAGACACCAAAGTCTGGTTTTCCTGGTCAGCTTTTTCCATTGGGTCACAGTCAATCTGAGAAACAACAGAGAGGCATAAAAGAATGTTTTGTCCCAGGACCCTTTTATCATATCAGTAGGCAAAGGTTATTGATCATTTTATTATCATAACTTTTAAAACCACACCCCAAAGCTTATCTTTAACCACTGCAGTACCACACTATAGCCGAAAGATGGCTACAGCGTAGATTTCTTGTTCTGGGAGGGTATCCATAGACTTCCTCCCAGAACCCCCCCCCCCTGGGACCCACATCGGGCTTGCCTTGTGACTGCTGTGTCCTTTGGATACAGCTGATCACAGATTGCGGTAAAGGACACATCACAGCAGCAATTTACCATGTGATCAGCTGTGTCCAATCACAGCTGATCACATGTAAACAGACTTGCTTTGTCTGTGTGAGGAAAAAAGAGTTGGCACTGGGCAAGGCTGTTAGTATTTTGTTTACACTGATAATTAGGTCACTGATTATCAGTGCAGCCCAGGGGCAGACTGACAACTCATGGGGCCCCCCGGGCAATAGGGGATCATGGGGCCCCTGTGTCCTTGCCCAAACTCAAAAAAAGCCTATGAAAAAGGTACCATGGGCATCTCATGGGGCCCCCTACTGACCCCAGGCCTTAGGGCAGTGCCCGAGTTTTCAAATGGTCAGTCCGCCCCTGGTGCAGCCCCATCAGTGCGGCCCATCAGTGACCATCAATGCCACCTATCAGTGCCCATCAGTGCAGCCTCATCAGTGCCCATCATTGCAGCCTCACCAGTGCCCATTAGTGCAGCCTCATCAGTGCACATCAGTGAAGAAGAAAATTTACTTATCTACAACATTTTATAACAAACACTATGAAAAACTTTTTTTTTAATTTTCGTTTTTCGTTTCTTTTTTAGCAAAAAATAAAAACCCCAGTGGTAATTAAATACCACCAAAATAAAGCTCTGTCTGTCTAAAAAAATTATAAAAATGTCATATGGATACAGTGTTGCATGACTGTCAAAGTGCAATAGTGCTGAAATCTTAACATTGGCCTGGGCAGAAAGAGAGGGTGAAAGTGCCCGGTATTGAAGTGGTTAACCACTTCAAGTGCGGACACTTTTACCCCCTTCCTGTCCAGGCCAATTTTCAGCTTTCAGTGCTATCACACTGAATGACAATTGCACAGTCATGCAACACTGTACCCATATGAATTTTTTAGAATTTTTTTAAGACAGATAAAACTTTATTTTGGTGGTATTTATTCACCACTGGGATTTTTATTTTTTTTTGTTATATAAATGAAAAAGTCCAAAAATTTTGAAAAAAAGTGTTTTTCTTATAAAATTTTGCAAATAAATAATCTTTCTTTGTAAATATTGGCCAAAATGTATTCAGTTATCTTTTTAGTAAAAAAAATAATAACCCAAATTAGTTTATAACCAAAACTTATAATTTTTAAAAAACATTTTTACATTTTAATTTTCTTTTTATTATTATTATTATTTATGCTTTTTTTTTTTTTTATTACATACCATCACCCTAGCAGTACAGTGTCACCATAGTCCATAGTGACACTGTACTACTTGTGGGGTGATTAAGATTTTTTTTTTTTTTACACTGATTGCTTTTACACCCATAAAGGCTGTAAAAGCAATAATTTCTCCTTCTCTCTGGCTGCATTCTTGCATCATCAGAAATGTTTTCCAGGTACTCAAATGGACCTAGTACACCAGCGCAGTCAGTTGCAGGTTTTGCAAGAAGAAAAAATGATAGAACGTGCTGCATTATACTCATGATGGGATCCATAGTGAATACAACCAGAAAAGACAGGTAATCTCAACACATACTGCTTTCTCTGCTTCTGCTCTCTCAATTTCTCTCAAAATGCATGAAATAGTTAATTTTTTACTGTTTTTCAGTGCATTCTGGGAATTTGGGAAGGTCTCCTGAGGTTATCTTTTAAAAACATTTCTAAACGCAAACGTGCATAACGGCACATAAATGCGTTATGCGAACACGGCTAAACTGATGTTTTTTAACCTATGTTTTCCAGCAGTCAGTTTCCATCGTTCAGAAGAGTTTCCCAAACATCCCGTGTACATGAGCCCTAAGAGTTCATATATGTGTTAGGATCAAGTTATCTAGTTTAATAGCAAAAAAAAATTTTTTTTTCTCAACATTGTTTAGCATTATTTTTCTTTTATAGAGCACAAACTAAAAAATACACAGGTGATCAAATGCCACCGAAAGAAAGCTCAATTTGAGGGAAAAAAAGGACGTAAATTTCATTTGGTGCAGCGTTGCATGATCGCGCAATTGTCAGTTAAAGTAACGCAGCGCCGTAACGCAAAAAATGGCCTGGTCAGGAAGAGGGGTAAATCCTCTGGAGGGAAAGTGGTTAAGCTGCAAAAGTGGAAATACACTTTAACCAATTCAATACCGGGCAATTTTACACCTTCCTGCCCAGGCCAGTTTTCAGGTTTCAGCGCTCTCACATTTTGAATGACAATTGCGCGGTCACACAACATTGTACCCAAACTAAAATTTTTCTTCACACAACTAGAGCTTTCTTTTGGTGGTATTTAATCACCGCCGGGTGTTTATTTTTTGCTAAATTAACAAAAAAAGACCACAAATTTTGAAAAAAAAAACAAATTTTTCTTTGTTTCTGTTATAAAAGTTTACAAATAAATAATTGTTCTTCATAAATTTAGGCCGAGATGTATTCTGCTACATGTCTTTGGTGAAAATAACCCAAATTAGGATGTATTATTTAGTTTGTAGGAAAGTTATAGAGTTTACAAACTATGGTATAGATCTGAAAATTGATCAATCCTGAAGTACTGACAGCCAATCTAATTTCTTGAGGTCCAAGAATGTCAGAACAGTACAGATATCCCCCAAATGACCCCTTTTTGTAAAGTAGACAGTCCAATGTACTTCATAAGAGGAATGGCGAGTTTTTTGAAGTTGTATTTTTTTTGGTCATAATTTTTAGATTTTTAAGATTTTTTTTTTCATATTTTACTATGACCAAAGTAGTACAATGTTACCATAGTAACACTGTACTACTTTGGGGAAGTGATCAGTATTTTTTTTACACAGTTTGCTTATAGCAAAGAATTACTTTGCTGTAAGCAAGCATTTATCTGAATGACATCGATTCATTCAGGTTTTTTTTTTTTGTTTTTGTTTTTTTTTTTTGTGCTTAGCTGTGATTTGGCCACAGCTAATCACATGACATGTGCATGTGACCTGCTGTGACCATTCACAGCTAGACACTAGTATACAATGGATGGCATGAATGAAGCCATCCATTGTATACAACTGTCATGTGACCTGCTGTGATTGGTCACAGCAGGTCACATGGTACCGGCAACGGGGGCCGGTACTCAGATCTGTCATCGGCCGTGACCGAGGTGCACGGCCGGTAATAGATCGCGCCGCTGCATGGCTCTGCAACCACGCGAACTGCGCATTTGCAGGAGGACGCCAAATGGTGTACACCCAGCAAAGCTAATGCATTTTTGCGGCCGCCAAACAGCTATAGGCCGGGTGGCTAATGGTTAAGGAGCACCTCAAATATTTCCATTCTCAGTCAGCACTTTGAAGAGAGCATGGGGCTGTGCCAGGCAATTAATACATTGCTTCACTTGACAGAAGAGAGGCAGCATTTGGAGCGATGGTGGAATACTGTACAATTAAAGCTGACCAAACACAATACAATCCAGTTGCAATTTTTCCTATAGAATTACCAACAATTCAGTAGCCTTTGGGTCTGCCAAACTGAATTGCAAATCAATAGACAGTTTAGGTTGGGCATACATAATATAATTTTCATGTACAATTTTCCTTTAGATTTACCAAACCATATAATATGAGGTCAAACCTAAATACTTTTCAATTTGTATGCAACCAAGCAGGTCCTTGTACTACATAGTTGAAGGCGAATCTAAAGGAAATTGAATTAAAAAAATCTTTCGACTTACTTTGTTCCGGTGATGCGGAGTCTGATCCGGTGACATCACAGGTCCTTTTCGTCCCCTTCCTCTGGTGGTGGGAAGGTCCCAAATGCTGCAGGGAGCGGTCATTCAACCAGGAAGGGGAGTAGAGATGCCTCCTGGACCTGGTTAGCCTGCAGGGAAATCACCAGAGAGGAGGTGAGTATTGCATCTTGATATGTTTTGTTTTTCTTATTTTGTACTCCTGCCAGGGATACACATCTAAATCTGTACCCAAGCTGGAGTTAACCTTTACTTTTTGCTTTTTTATCCTTTGTTCCATCTCAGTGCTGCTGATCCTATGCATGTGGTCTGGTGGTGACAACAGTGGCCCTCTTGTAATGGGACACAGCCACTTGTAGTCTCCATCTGACAGGAACAGAGCATTGTCACCCTAAACAAAGGCCTTCATAACAGAATTTCCAGGTATTCATTTTTTTTAAGATTTTAAAATACCAAAAGAACTTGTAATATTACATGAACATGTTAGAATGTTTGTGTAGCCCAGTCTGCAGCCCTGATAGAAAAAGGATTGTGTGCCTAGCAGCAGAGGAGACATTTACATTGGCATAGCTATGGGAGAGGATTCTTATTGCAGAGCTGTGTACAGCCAGTGTTGAGTCTGGTCTCTGCCCAATATGAAGGCACACAGTATATGGACTGCAATGATTGTGGGAGGTGTAGTTCTGACAGACAGAGCCAGCTTGGTGAGCTGGAAGGACTAAACTAAAGTCCCACAAGGCACTGGGGCAAAGAAGAAAGGTAGTTCCCTGTTGTCTTCCCAGGTTGGGAAGAAGTATGGAGGCTGTTTTGAGAGAACTAAATACAGCTTTGGCTGCTGGCAGACTGCTCACCACTGCACCTGAGAGAGAGGCACAGTAACAAATATTTTGGGACTTTGGAGAGAGCCACAAAGGTTTCAGGAGCCTACTGCCTGACCAAGGTGAAGAATGCTGTGGTCACTGATCTTCAGTGCAGGTCACCTGCTGACATAGGAGTTGGTGAAAGACGGCTGCCAAAATCCACACTAC